TGAAGGTCTCCGGTTCGAGTCCGGGCGATGCCGTTTTTGGACCCCCCCATCTAGAATTAAATTTTAGGACCGCAAACTTTTAGGGATGTAACCCCCCCCCCCAATCTAGAATTAAATTTTAGGACCCCAAACTTTAAGGGATGTAACCCCCATCTAGAATTACAAAAGTTTAGGACCCCAAACTTTTAGGGATGTACTAGAATTAAATTTTAGGACCCCAAACTTTTAGGGATGTAACCCCCATCTAGAATTAAATTTCAGGACCCCAAACTTTTAGGGATGTAACCTCTTCAATCTGTAGATTAACCTCAATAAAAAGATTCTAAGTGGCCAGAAAACTTTTAGGGATGTAAGCCCCATCTAGAATTTAATTTTAGGACCCCAAACTTCTAGGGATGTGACCTCTTCAATCTGTAGATTAGCCTCAATAAAAAGTTTCTAATTGGCTGGATTGTCCAATTTTAAATGGTGAGATGGAAGTTTTAGAAAATTCAATTTTTTAATTGTTTGCTTTTGAGAATAATCTGCTGGTGATTTTTAGGTAGTTTGCAAAATTTTAGATTGGAAATATCTTCCAAAGTAGGTCTTCTAATCGAGGTAGAAGGACCCCAATTTTTAGAGATGTAACCTCTTCAAACCATAGATTAACCTAATTGGTCCTCTACACTTGAAAAAAAGTAATGTCTCAAGATTGAATAGCGACAAATTTAAATGGTGAGATTATACAATTTTAAATTATTTTATTTGAGATTAATCATCTAGTGATTTTTAGGTAGTTTCCAAAATTTTAGTTTGAAAGATTTTTCCTAAGTAGGTCTTTTAACCGAGGTCTTGAGGGAGTAGAAGTAAACTATCCTCGAGAGGGAGCATAGTGTACGTGCCCTCCATTGTATGCTCTCTATTTTTTTTTCTTTTTTCTTTTTTGGTAGTGTACTATACTAGTATGCTAACCTAATCCAGTGGTAGACCCAAATCGGACCCCATGGATTAAATTTACAGGCATCCTTGTTTTAGTTTTCATATTTCTTTTTTATATAGATAGCAAAGAAAGAAAAAAAAATGAGAGACAAATATGTGATTTTATATATGAATAGCAAAGAAAAAAAATTGAGAGACAAATATGAGTAGGTGAGTTTTTGACATTTAGATAATTTCTATGCATTTGGAGACATTCAATGCTGGCTTGTAACATTGCTTTTAACTCACTCCCAGCACTTCAATCAATACGGAACAATTCTCGGTCTCCAGCCACAAAAAAAAAAAAGAAAAAAAATTGAGCCCATCGACAATTATAGAAAGTGGCTATGCAAAAACTGCACTAAAAAATGATTAATCTATAGTAAACATAGGGTATGAGACGATTTTCCTAAACATGAAATTTGTTTTGTCCACACTGAGTGTTGGCAGTAATAAATAAATTAATCCAAAATTTGTTTTTGATGTTCAGGTTCGATATACATTATTCTTTCGCTAGTATCATTGCTTCATTTTCCTTGTTCAACATTCAAAACTTAGGAAGATGTTATTGGAATGGCTCTGGACCATGGATTGGGACTGCTGGGAACGTACACCAAGCCTCATACTCCAGCTCTTATCATTGGTGGGCTATGTGTTATGCTTGCTATGACCCTCTCCATCTTTCTAATTCTTCAGCACCTCCGATCATACGCCAATCCGGCGGTTTGTTTCTCCTCCTTGCTAAAGCATATAGGTAATTTTCTTTGTTAATATTTTTGATAAATAATTCTTATTAATTGGAAGTGATTATAAGAAAAATATCCCCAGCTCTTCTTTTTAATCTCTCTTTTCTTTTCTTTTTTCATTGAATCATATGATACTATAATCCATATGACCATAAAAATCTCATATTTTATTATCATCGTCATAGCTTTTTCTCAACTAATTGGAGTCCGTTACACGAATCTTGGTATGCCTCTATTAAGGGTCATACCTTCAGTGAGGTCACAAATCCTTATATCTGTTCCTATGTCTTTTCTCACCACTTCGAATCTTTGATCATATTTGTTAGTAAAAATAAGAGCTTTAAAGCCTAGGCTCTCTTATTTTTAATTTTCTTCTTAATTTTAGGTGATCATATTTGTGGTTTCCAATTGACACCTTCAAAAAAGCTAACTCCTTAATCTATTTGAAAAAACGGGTAGGGGCTTGTCGTCCCCGCCTAATTACCCAAAAAAAAAAATATGATGACACATACATGCAATTTTTAGGAGATAGAATGCACACTAAAACATACATCCATAGGGAAAGGCAAATATGATCCTATGCAAAAAGTGATGGCGGCCACTGTGCATTTTGACTTCTTGAAGGCCGTGATCCAATGTCTGCCAAATGGATGGTTTGTGCTCATCAAGGATGGCTCTTGTTTCTCCCCTTTGTTGCCTGTTGGCTTAGGTCTATACTATCTGTTGGCTTAGGCCTATATAATCATTTTTGTTATATATGTATGTATTTAATTATGTATTTCTATATATATGAGCTTTTGTCTCTATGTTTGTTTGTGTGTGTGTTTAATTATGTATCTCTATGTATGTAAGCATGCGTCTGTGTGGGGTACCCACCCTCTTTTATTGGTTTAGATTGGGGGAGGCCCCACCAATGGTTTGGATGGGCCATCAATGCGAATCTGATGTTCTAGCTGCCACTGGTACATCTAAGCCTCCATGTGCCAATGGTGTAGGACCATTCTTAAGTGGGGTGACAATCTCAATGTAATGGGGGGCTTAGATGGCATTAATGTGTAGGAGAGGGATTAGAAAAAATAGAATGGCATAATTTATACAATGTTGATGGCTAAGGATGGCATCTTACATACAAGTTATCCAAGAAAAGAATGAATAATAAATGAACTTTTTATTTGCTGTTATATTCCTAGGATTTTGCTGATGTTCAATGCCATTTGATATCATTTTTACTCGAGATTTTTTATTTGTTCAAATTATGTGAAGCATATATTTGAAATCTCCTTTCTTACAAGTAAAGCTAAGGTTCCACTACATGGGATTATTTTTTGGTTATCCTCATAGTTTAGTGCTGGGTTTTGTGAGCAATGGGGCCTAAGAATCATAGGTTATCTAACAATCCCATTTGTTTAATATTTCAGGAGCAAAAATGGCTTGTTGGTGTTCTTTTCATGGTTCCTGTCTATGCCTGTGAATCAGTGAGTAACATATGAACCTCAATCTCTGATAGTAGGAATAGATTGATGATATTGAATTAAAGGTTGCGTAGTTTCTTGCAAACACCTTTGATCAGAGTTCACTTTTAAATAACAAATTCAATGACGAAATCATTGTACTGTTGCAAATGTACTTTTTTTTTTTTGAAATTAACGTTGTTGCAAATATACTATTGTTTTACTGAAGGGAACTTTTAAATGACATATTCAATGACAAAATCATTGTACTGTTGCAAATGTACTATTTTTTTTTTTTGAGACTGACACTGTTGCAAATATGCTATTGTTTTACTGAAGGGCAGCACGCACTAGAAAATTTGCTCTTAATCGTGTATATTACCAATGATTAAAGAATGAAAGAAAGAGAAGTGCTTATGTGTTCTCACCAATACATGTCTTAGCATAAAAGGCTTTGAAGCTTCTAACATTCTGAGCATGGCGCATAGTTAACCCCTTCTATTAGTTGTATTTTTTATATCCTTCATAATTTTTTATTACTTGTTATATAGTTTTTTATTACTTGTTAGTCTTACTTATACTCTGATTTGTTATACCTAAGACTCACTTGATTAACATCCCTTGCAATGGTCTCAACTTTTGTCTACATTGTTTTTTGGTTGTACAAGGAGTTAAGCATTTGTTCTTTGTATTTTTCAGTTATTGTCTCTTTGGAACCCCAGTATCTCTATTGAATGCGACATTTTAAGGAATTGTTATGAAGCATTTGCCTTATACTGTTTTGGAAGCTATTTGGTTGCCTGCCTCGGTAAGCTCAGTTATCTGGTCCATTTGGAAGCTAGAAAGCCATATAATCTGATGAATATTTTCTCTAGCCTCCGTAATCTCGTTGTTTAGCTTGTCTAGCCTCAGTATTTATACATATATACTTCAGTTACATACTATTCTATATGAACTTCAAGATTCTTAAATTCCTTAAGAGTTCTGGATGGTCTTATACACCGACCAATCTAGTAATTTTATCAAGTTTGCTCCGAGATTATGTATGTATGTGCTGGTGCCGGTGTGAACATTGTCCTTAATTATTGGCTTGCTAATAGTCACTACACTAAGCCGTATTTATTTTCCTCATGATTTACTTGAATCAGTCCAAGGCTACCACTGAAAGCCATTTTTCTATGAATGATTCTAGTCGAGGTTGCTTGGTACCCATTTATTTTGATAAATAGAAATGCTCTTCTAGGTGGGGAAGAGAGGGTCATTGAGTTGCTTGAAGTTGAATCAAGGAAGCAACTCACCAAGCCATTGCTAGAAGATGAGGGCAAAAATATAGCTGCCAAGGTGCCTAGATTCCACGACTTTTTCATTGGACCATCTAAGCTTGGAAAGAGATTGTCTTCAATTGTAAAATTTGGAATTGTACAGTATGTAAGTGGGAGGAATTTTTCATTTTTTATTTTATTTATTTTATTTTAGTTCTTCACTGACTGTGGCTCCCTTCCAATTTTCTTGCATTTTTCAGATGATTCTGAAGACACAGTGTGCCTTCTTAGCCTTGTTATTGGAGCTCTTTGGAGTTTATGGTGATGGGAAAGTTAAGTGGTATTATGGTTATGAACATCTTTTTCCTTTGGGATCATTTTGACTGAAACAAGGTTTAATATGCCTTTAGAAACTATAGACTTGGTAATAAATCAACCTGCAGGTGTTGAAAGGCATCTATTCTGTAGGGATGTTGAATTTTTTCTAATTTGTGTTATTTTTGCATTTTCTTCCTCTCCGTTTGAGATGCACCGCCCAACATGTGATCCTTTTTGAGATGCCTCTGTGTTGCACCAATCTCTTGAAGTGTTGAAATAATCCAAAAATTATACAGTAAACAGATTTTGGAGGGGAATGTATGGCAAAAACATGTAAACGTCTAGCGGTGAATTTTAGAATCTTTGTGCTTTCTTGAGTTGCATAGGATCGGAGTGAAATGTTGGTTTTGATTCGCATAGAGACTTTTGATCTATGGCATTCTCCTAGCAATGTTAAATGGGACTAGTGACTTGAAAATATTTTTCTCCCTATTCTTCTTTTACTACGGAACAGATTTCCTCTATCAAAGTTTCTTGCATTTTCTCTATTGATGGTTGAGTTCATGATTTGTCTGTTGCAGATACCCATATATAGTGGTTGTAATAAACTTCAGCCAAACATGGGCTCTGTACTGTCTCGTGCAATTTTACAATGCAACTCATCATAGATTAGCGCCTATAAGACCACTAGCAAAGTTCATTAGTTTTAAAGCGATTGTATTTGCGACGTGGTGGCAAGGTTTGGGTATTGCAATCCTTTGTTCACTTGGCATTTTGCAAAAGCAAGGGAGGTTTCAAAGTGGCCCTCAGGATTTTCTCATCTGCATTGAAGTAAGTCGACCTCTCCCTCTCTCTCTCTCTCTGATGCACATAAACACACAGATGTATCATTCTTTAAGATGGACAATACACGGATAGAAATGGAGGGGGCAGAGCAATATTGTAATAAAAATTTTAATGTTGAACTAGTTATCTTTCTGTGAAGCTTCAATGGACTGTCATGGTTATATGTATGATCATGAAGGAGAAATCAGCACAGTGTTTCTTTCTTCTTTTTTTTCCCTTTTTTCCTCTTTTTTGATGGTTTTCATGGTGATATATTTACAGATGGCCATTGCAGAGATCGCCCATTTTTATGTTTTCTCTGCTGAACCTTATCGGTTCCTTCCAGTATCTGAGCATGGGAAAGTAACAACTCCAGCAACAAAAGCCACATTCAAGTTGGAGGAGGAAGGAGAACAAGAACCAGCTCTTGTGGAGCAAACTGAGACTTATGTCAAGGCTCCTGGTACGAGCATTACCGAGAGTGTTCAGGATGTTGTCATTGGGTGTGGCGAACATGTGAGTTCCCTCACTCCGAGCATGAATGTACGTATAAACTATGGCATGCACATGCATCTGCATGAACACATGCCAGCGTGCTAGATTATATGCCCTGAGCCCATGAACAAACACAAACACAATGGTGTGCACATGAATCTACAAGAACACATGCATGCATATGAGTTTCTTTGATATGAGCTTATGTCAGCTCATGGACATAAGCAAGCACAATAGCATGCATGTGGAGCTTCTTTTATATGAGCGCATGAAAATACACACACACAACGGCATGAGCATATATCTAGATGAACACATGTATATGTCTTTATTATGAGCACATGAGGCTACAAAAGCACAGTGACATGCCCATGTATCTTCATGAATGCATTCCAAGAACTTGATTCTTGATGGGCATATGCTTCTATGTACAATGTAGAATGTAATATGTATGTATGCTAGTATGTGTTCACATATGCACATGCATACATACATAAGCATCACACGTAAATTTGCACAACTAAGAGCTTGAATCTATCTAAGTATAATTCACACACACTAACTTGCAAACTTGCATGCATCATTGAAGCCTTAGGTGGATGCATTCATGATGATGACGACTCATGTATTTTACAGTTAATGTGCATAATATGTTCTAAATGCCTACATTTATATTCATGACACATGGATGTAGGAAAGAAACACGTGAGCTAAAATACAAATTGGTTATGAAATCTCAGGTTAGGAAGGATGTGGTTCTAACAATAACCCAAGCAATAGAGCTTGTGGAGAAAGGAGTCACTAAAATACAAGAGACCTTCCACCACATCTCGATAGGTTCAGGCGATGAAGAAGTAAAGGTCGACAAACATGTGTCGGAGAATGTGACAAAAGACAGGTCCCATGTTCTAAGTTCTGAAAAGCCGGTAAGAGCTGAATCTAGTGAGAAATCTAGTGGTGCTCTTGATTTAGATGAGAAGTCATAAACAGCTGAAACAAGTGGTGCTCTAAATTTAGAACATGGGTAAACCCCTTTTATTTTTTACATGGAAACTCCAAAATCCATAAAATTAAAGAAATAACTTTGTTTTATCTTCTATTTTATTGATGGTGTGGATTCCATAAGGTCGCAACCTTAAACAACCAAATTAAGGTGTACCTCCAAACTTTAATGAGAAATTTCATAAGTAGTTCAAATCAACTATGCAAATGCATGAAATCATGAAAATGGACGGTCAAGATAATGTATTGCAATATGTACTATTTTTAGAACTTACTTTATCTTGGTTTCTCCATCTCTATACATCTCAATGTCGAGTTGACTTTAATTGTACATTTTAAGGTGGCAATCTTATATAAACTTTTCCTTTTGTTAATGTTTTCTTATGCGGTCCTCGTGTACTAGCTTGAAAATCATTAGCAAGAGTTGGTTCTCTTATGAGAGAAATGTGTTTTGGGTGCAACTTGAATTCAACCAAGCCCAAAAGTTCTCATCCTTGGCTCAAGTTTATGTGAATTAAGCCAGTAATAAGGAGCTTTAGGGGCCGTATGGATCTTAGAAAAGGATTACCAGGAAATAGTTTTCTGGGGAAATTGTCTATGTCTGCCATTGGTATCAAATTCTGGGATAGAAATTTAGTTCCAATGGAAATTATTTTCTTTTTGAGCCCAAAAACTTATTTAAATGCCGACACCAAGAAAAATCTTTTTCGCCGCCACCTTAAAAAACTTTTTTCCTTCCAGTTTATGTAAGGGTGCGGTTTGTGTAGAGCCTAGGCTCTAAACAATCAAATTAGAGCCTACCTTCAAATACTATCGATAAATGTGGTTTCAATACTGAACATATTTGTACGAACCTTAAATTTTATTTTCATCTTTATTCATAAAGTTTGAAGTTTAAAATATAGTGTAGATCGATAGATCATGAAAACTTGAAAATCTTGAAATTATTTTGAAAATCTTGAAAATTGACGGTCCAAAAATACGTTATAAAATATACTATTTTCAAAATATGAAATCCATTTTTTTTCATGTCCGTGCATCTTGACGTTGAGATGATCAATTTGAGGATATTTGAGCATGAAAACCTCTTTTAGTTAAATTTTTTAGGTAAGCTCTTCTAGTTAAATTTTTTACGGAAGCTCAAATTTGATTGTTTAGAGCCTCGGCTCTATATAAACTTTTCCCTTTATGTAATAGAACCAAAACCTTGCTCACCTCTCTCTCCTTCATTGCCGACGTCCTAACCGAACTCTCTCTCCTCCATTGCCGACATGCTCATCCTAACCCATCTCTCTCTCCCCCCGTCCATTGCCGACATGCTCATCCTAACCTCTCTCTCTCTCCATTGCCAGCATGCTTCTCCTAACCCCTCTCTCTCTCTCCCATGCGCACACCACGCATAAGCGTTTTATGACCTGGTTCGCTTCCAATGATTGTCCTCTCTCTCCTCATCCAATGCCCTATCTCTAGCTGAAGATACCCGGTTTGCGGTTTGAAGGCGTGTCGATTTCAGGTGGTTTTAGAAGAGTACCATTACCAACAGGCTGTGCCCAACCTGGTTTTCAAGGTCTTCATCATCGTGGTTTTTTTTCAATTATTTGCCGCCATGAACTCACTCATGCAATCAAGATTGTTGGAGGGTTCCCTACCTAACTCATGACCCGGCCCATTTGGAATGACAAGCTCATGGGTGAGCGCCAATGTTTGCAATTATAAAAGGATTTCCTGTACATCGCCACTAGAATGCAAGGATGGATCTCAACCATGCCATGCTTGATCCCTTGTACGGCTGGCGATCTTGATCACTATAGTTTAACCTAGATTAAAAGAAATAACACGAAAAAATCATGTAAATAAAGATAACCTTTTATCTCTATCCTGTAAGGGTGAGAATTTGTTTGTTCAAAGAATAATATACCTTGTATTGTTTACCCTAAACTCTCCATTTTTAAGACACTCCTACATATTCTCCAAAGATAGGATTCTTTTTTATTGTGTCCACCTCTTCACTCGGACTTAGTACACATTCGTATGGTATAAATACTCATTTTAAGTCAAATAGTTAGAACGAGGGGTGGGGAATTGGGTCAGGTTAACCAGACAAGGGGTTGGGCCAAGGTCTAACTGACCTCGACCCAACTGGGTCAAATCTTGATCCAAGACCAGCTTAGATAATATCGGTTCATGTCAATTCAACCTAACCCGCCCAAGTGTACATAAATACAAATACATGCTAATATTATCAAGGATATAATATAAAATACCATTCACCAAAAAAATACATATATATTGTATTTCTTCATATATTTCTTTATCTATAGACCTGGATCCGTGGGTTGAGTTCCGGTCCTATCCCCGACTTGGTGCGCCGGTTCCGGGTCCAATTCATCTATTAAATTACAACTAGACTAGGGGAAGAAAGGAAATGAGATAGAGAGAACTAGACTAGGGGAAGAAAGGAAATGAGAGAGAGAGCAACTAGGCTAGGGGAAGCTATCAAAAGGAACAAATCCCACATGAAATTCATCTATTAAATTATAACATAATATACAAACGGTTTACATGTCGCACAAGTCATCACAACAAACCTCAAGGCAACAATTGATGCAAGCAAAGCATGAAAGGGCACTGCAAAACTGCGTCATGGCGATGACGCAGTTATTAGAGAGGCGGGAGCACTCGCGCTCTGCATCTTCTCCGCAACAGACGCAGCAGCAGTCACCGATCACACTGATATTGAGTGCATCGCCAATGTTGAAAATGGACTTGGAAACGTTCAATTCGCTGGATTCAATAGGAATATTGTTTTCAGTTGCCTCGATGCTTCCAAAGCCGACAGTGAGGCCATGTACGAATGTGATCTTGCTGGCTTTTGAGGTCGTGTACTCTGAGAAATCAACCTTATTTCCCTGCGAAGTGTTGGTTTAATAAGTAAATTCAGTTGAATTATGGCCGACAACTTTGGATTGAGCGAGTCCACATATAGCAAGCGGGCAACTGTTGCCCCCTTTTTTCATGCAACAGAGAGAGAGTGAGAGAAAGAGAGATTAGACTCCAATCACTTCCTAATATGGACGATGGGGTTTACATTAATGATTGAATATCCACTTAGACTATTTCCTTAGCGAGAGAGAGAGAGGGAGGGAGGCCCAAACAGTTCTTCACAGTGTACCACCGGGACTCGGCCAGAGTTCCCAAGACAAAAAAAGGGATTCACAAGGATCGAACCCAGGACCTCCCATGAGAACCATCCCAAGGTAGCGTTACCTAGACCTTAACTAATGCGTCTTGTGCTGCATGGTGCATCTTTCTCCAGATCCATGGAGGTTGTCAGATGTGGGCGTCTCTGCAGCCCAGTTGATGATATGCTCCTTCTCTTTTTTATCAGTTCGCTCTTTGACATTTGATGTTAGAAAACAGGAGGTTATATTATGTATATCATACTTTGTTTTGTCTTTGTTTTAATTTTTTTTAACTCAGGCTGAACTCAAGCGAGTTACTTGGACTCACCCAAGGCTCAAGTACCTCGACACTGGTAACAACCAAAAGGGCTGAACTCAAGCGAGTTACTCCGACTCGCCCAAACAACTCGTCTTGGTGAAGGCCCAAGTACCTCGGCACCGGTAACTACCAAAGGTAACAGGTGAATTAACTAAAGGAGACTGTTGGCAAGTGGCATGAGTAATAACTAATTAATGTAATCAGCGGAAGGAATGTGTATAACACAACTATAACTCCAAACTCAGCTGAGTTACTCGGACTTGGCTCTTTGTTAAGCTGAATACTTGGGTTTGTACAATTATTCGTGAGTTTTTCTTGTTATATGACTCATTTTTATGTTTTTTTTTTTTGGATTTTTCTGAAATATCTCCAACCACAGATCAATTATTCTGAATACATGTTATATTTATATATATTATCGTTTTTGGACTTTTTTGGTTAATTTTGGTTTTATTTCAATATACAGTTTTTATGTTTAATTTTTTTTTAAAAAAATAGTTATTTTTTAGGGCCTATTGGCCCTTTCCACTACTTGGTAGAGTCTACTTGAACTTTGCAAAAGTTACTCATCTAAGGTTATGGCCGAGTTGAAAAACATAGGTTATCAGAAAGAGTTTCAATGTATACTGCTCACATTTAGACAGATTCTTACTCTTTTTAAAAAATGTTCAGTTTTAGACAAGAGAGAGAGAGAGAGAGAGAGAGAGAGAGAGATGCTTACCAGCTTTAGTTCATGCACAAGAGAGGAGTGTTTTTCTCTCTCTGTCTGGAAAAGAACCATGTGAGTGAATTCTGATGGAATGCCAGTGTGCATGCTCATTTTCACAACCTGCAAGAAGAAAGGAGATTTCAATTGAAATTAGTTTTAATCGCTCTATATTTATCTAGGCACTAATTATGTGCTTTGGTTAATTATCAACTAGACTTTGTGTTTAATTACTTTGTGTCGTACATTGAGAATATGAATAGATACATATGAACCCAAATAGATGCACAGAAGGGCGTGTAACCCAGAAAAGAATCAAGATATTGAAGTAAAATATGGAAAAAAATCAAAATGTAAAAATAGAAAAATAGGAAAGTCTTTTTTTGCAATAAGAATCAAACTTGAGATATAGCTCTACTAACCTCAGTAGCTCTGCTAATCTCAGCTGCTAACCAATCAATCACAAGCCCAAGCCCAAGCCGAATTCCCTTTTTATTTATGTTTTAATGGGGTAAATAGCCCAAGCCCAATTCCTAGAGGACTAAAAAAAAATACTAAGTATGAATGTTGGAAATGAATTTAAAAAGGCAAATAAAGAAAAAAAATTGTGTAAGAGGAGGAAGGGAAGTAGAGAATACACAGAATGTAGGAAGTGATAGTAGTTCAACTTGAGAAATTTAGAAATTGCCCCCTATAAAACTCTATTGGGTTTTGGAGATATGGATTAACTTTTGGAGAACTTGCAAGAAGAAAGGAAACTTCAATAGTAATTTGTTTTTAATTAATAAGGAAATTTCAATAGTAATTTGTTTTTAATTAATATGTATTTAACTAGTCATTAATTTATATGCTTTTCTTAATTACCGACCAACAATCTATATTTAGTTCCTCACTGAGGGTATGGCCCTAAATAGAGCATAATGGCGACCCCAATTAATTGGGAAAAGGCTATGATGATGATGATGATGATTAATTTGTATTTAGTTACTCTGCATTGTGCATGGAGAATATAACGAGATGAAAATGAAAATGGGCTTATAACCCAAAAAAGAATAATCTAGGTATTTTAGTAAAATATGGCACAAAATTTAAAACACAGAATAGAAAAGTAGAAAGTTGGATACAAATATGAAACTAAGCACGAATGTTGGAAATCAAATTACAGCAGGCTTAAAACAAATGTGCAAGGAAAATAGGAAGGGAAGTAGAGGATATAAGGAGAGAATGCAGGAAAGGATAGGAGTTGTAACTTGAAAAAAGTAATTTAGAAATTGAGAGTGTCTCCTTAGAAAACTCAATTGGGTTATGGAGATCCGGTTTGAGAAGAGCCATTCTTGTTACACTTCGGAGACTTGGTTAACGATTTTCTAGGGAATCATATAAAAATATATGAGTTTGGAAAATTTATAGGGATACCTTACCCTAAATGTCTCTCTACAATTGGTACCTTTCCTAAACTATCTTTTCCTATAGACTTATCTTCTAGTTGATGCCACGTGTTCATCCACTAAATGTGGCTCAAGAATGCAAATAGGAACAAGTCATTGACATTTCAGTAATCATGGTTTTGAGTGTAAATCAACTCAAGAAAGTCACTTGAAAAGCTTATCCTACAAAGTATCTCACTTGGAAATATCCAACTTTCGTCTCGCTAAACCGGAAGATGACCTAGGACGATCTTCTAAATATCATGTCCTCTTTTATTAGTACGCCAGAAGGCCATTCTGGGAGAGTATCTACTAGAGAAATGCCATAAAGATCTAGGAAAAAAATCATTCTCAATGTGCAATGCTAATTAGACAGCCAATATCTGATTAACCAAGAGATACAGATAACAATAGTTTGGAAAGTAATTTGTGGTGTAGAGGCCACATGATGAGAAGAAATGTCATATATCCCCTCCATGAAAAGTAAAGAATCAATGTTCTAAAGAGTAGCCAGCCCAATGCCTAGGCAAGCCAGGGGGGCTCAACGCCTTTCCCAGGCTTGGGCGGGCCTTCTAGAAGGGGTGTCCTTGGATGCCCACCCAGGGAGGCAGGTGCCCACTGCCTAGGCCTAAGCAGTGCACATAGACTGCATTCGCCTAAGGGTGGAAATGCCCTTCATGTGGGAGTATTTCCAGTAATTTTTCTCCCCAAATAAGGGGAAGGAGGGCATTTTCTAAACCCCTAATCTCATCTTTTTCCTCTAAATACAGCAAAAAAAAAAACCAAAACTTTTTTCAAATCTCAACATTGGTTGGATTTAACTTCGAATTTGAAGCTTCAAAAAATTGATCCAAACATTATCCTTTTGTTTTGCATTCAATTTTATCTATTAGGAAGCTCATTAAGGGGTTATTAGAGAGCTTTTGAGATTGCCAAACATCTCAAACATGGAAGATTGAAAATCGAGCATAAAGGTTAATAAAAAATCTTTGTATTTGATACTTTTTTGTTATTTCGATGTCTTCTTCAGGTTCCACTAGAAGTGGTAATCTGAGTTGAAAATATGGTTATAACCTGAATCTGTAGGATAAAAATTGCATAAGGTGTAACTATTATAAAAAATATACTAAGGGGTAATAAACTGGTTCAAGAAACATCCTGATGGTAATTATGGGGTATGTTTCCCCTTGTAAGAAAGTTTAAGAACGAGCTTTATATTGAAGAGGGAGATGATTCCCATGGTGATGGAGTCAACATCCGATGCATATGATTAGGTTGCCCCCACTTTTTCTAATGACCTGAAGATTATTGAGTCTTCAAGTCTAAATTTTTTTTTCTTATTTCCTCCTCTTATGTGCATGGAGTATGGACTATGGATTTTTTCTTTTTTTGAAAGTGTTAACTGTATATATGGATTATTGATTGACTGTATTGTATTTTTGGTTGTGCTAGTCCTTTGGTTTAGATTACGGGGATTTTAATATTTTATAATGTTTTAATTTGTTATTTACATGTACCCATAGTTGTATCAAATGTGTATAAGGTAGTATGGTACTATGGTTTATGTTTATGGAATATAGAGTGTATGGATATACTTTGGTTTGGTTACTATGGATTACTAAATAATATGGAATTATGAATTAAGGCTATGGATTGGTATGGATTATGGTTAGGTTAATTGGTTATGGGTTGTGTATTTTTTGTAGTAATGTAGTACTTTGGGTTGGATTTGGCATGATTGCATATAAAAATGTACAAAAAATACCTGTTCTTAGCGAATATGCAAGCTTTGGATATCCCACCCTCGAAAAAGAAAATTCTCTAGTATCTTTATACTTCCAAAACCTTTGGTTCCTAAGACTAACAACACACGTATAGGCACCACTTGTGAACTCTGCAACCATTCATCTCAATATCCAATATACATTCCAAAAGTTTAACCTGCTCTTCCTACCTCTTTTCCACAAATCACTACATCTGAAGATATACTTTTAAATATTTCCTGCCACATCATACCCTAGGAATAATGTGGCTCAATTCATTCAGGCTTTCCAGATATCTTAACTCACTTGTACAAAAATGACACAATAAAAAGTATCATGCATTACAAATGCCTTTCCTTAGTAGAAATGAGTAACTTGTCTACTGCATCATAAAGTCATTTATTGGTGGGCAATATAATATGGCAAAGCAGGTTTAATTTATCAGACCAGCTTACATTTGCACCAAAATGTACCAAACACATGCAAGTTAGCTCTTGCACATCTTGTGTTGTGTGTTGATGATATCATTGTCATGGAGAAGGAATATATCATATCACTATTTACATCAAGTTTGAAAGCAAACTGCGAGAATAAGGATTCGAGAAATCTGAAGTATTACCCAGGAATTCAAATGGCTATTTTTTGCATAAGAATTGCTTTTGAATAAAGAAATACATTAACCATTATCCCTACAAGTGAGCACCTAGTAGGTCTAGATCATGCTGCTTCCTTGAAAACAGAAACCCTGGCCAATCCATGATTGCATAATGCATCCAGCATTTTACCACATCCACGCATACTGTAGAGTGTCTATTTACTTGACCATAACATGACCTGATGTCACCTAGTCATGATACGACTAACTTAGCTTGGACAACACAATAATATCTATCCCCTTTCTTGGTTCTGAGAATCAGGCACTTGGTAAATGTAATGCAGATTTTTTAATAGAGTGGGGAGCCTCACCAAGAGCTATCTCGTTTCCATCAGAAAGAACTTAGCTAAGTCGTAAGCAAACAACAGTTGCTCACAAAAGTTAGTGCCAAACCTAAATGATAGGGCAATGAGTTCTAGAAATGTGAATGAGTTTGGCTCAGAGGACTTCGATATAAGCAGGAAATTTTGGCCTTCAATTTCAACTCCATGGTCATTTGTGTCAAAACTCAAAATGCCAATAATTAAACAGTGATCCAGTATTCCACTAAAGAAATAACCATATGCAACTGTCTTCAACTGCCATTTTATGAGAAAAAAAAAGATGAACGCAGGATTCATATGAGTTGCTTGTGTGCATTTGTATATTTGGACGTTATACCTTTCTCACTGCTAGAGAAATTGAATATCTTATCCGTAATGCATAAGAAAGATATGCAAATGATTATGTAAACAAAAACTGAAGATCATCTATATCAGTATTCACTAAAGATTATTTTGTACTATTGGTAAGAAACTTGTATTGTGAATTTAAGTTGCACCTAACCTGCTCCTCTAGGTGTTTGTCTTCATGGAACCAAGCTTGGGCTGTGAGAAGATCAATGTGTTGTTTAGCAAGCATCTGGCAGAGAATGCCAAAGAATTAATATAGCCTATATGCAATTTAGCATTAAATCACAGAGTCTCCACCGCTACAAAAACAGATGAATTCACAATCACCAATTATATCAGAATAGCATTTCTCATGTATATGGTAGGGAGAAGGAAAAACCCTAACTTAAATACCCCAGATATTTGCAATCTATAAAGGGAAGCATTTGGAATACTTTTTTTGAATATGTTAACTGTCTAAATTTTAGACAAAAATAAAACATCCAAGAGAGATTATAAGGGAAGTATTTGGAATAATAGACTATGATTTTTCCCATCAACCATAAACACACCTAATATTTTTTTCCCTGAATATATTTGTGATCACTTATTCATAGGACTTTTTTCTGAGTGACTAGGCCAGCATTGGTGATGGGCTGATTCCACATGTATATATTGCACTTCAATTCATGCAAGAACTATTCTTCCAACAAGGAAAAGTTAGATAAGCCGCAGTTAGAGCCATTTTACAAGCCCTCTTTGTCTGAGATGAAAATTATTCAAGGAAATAAGGGAAGATGACATGCATGACTAGAGAAGCAGAATGGGTGAATGAACAATGGATTGTCCAAGACAAACTTAGGTTTTGGATCTCCTTATATTTATTAACAATGTAACATTACAAATATGCATATGGCAATGTCAATTATTGCATATGAATACTAAGACAGATATAAAAGTCTATTTATTAGTTTTCCCTTGCATATCACATTATATCCTTCATATATATGTCCTTTTCCACTAGTTCCCATGATCCTCTAATGTAAGGATATAAGTTGTTGTGAATTAGTAATCATCAGCGATGCTTTAAAAGTTGACACAAATTAAAGTTCTTATGAATTTTTTACTAGAAATATTCAACTCTGTGTTATGATATCAATTCCAAGTTCAAGATGTCAATGTTTGGTTTTGTTTCTAGTTTTGAAGTTCAAAGTATATGCTTATATGATACTGTTTTGGGGAGACTTAGGTAAATGTTAATTAAACAAAATTGTAGTAATGTGCTATTGATTTAATAGTAGTTTGGACCTAGTACATGAATATATTTTCCTACTTTTACACTTTTATCTATTTCATTGAGATTTTCCTTCCTATTTTCTGGAATTTATTTTTATAAAATGAGGCTAACAAGTTTATGACACAACACCTCTGACAAAAATAAGAATAACCTAGTCTATATTAAAAAACTCAAACAATAATTTTACAATTTCATATTATGAATGACTGATTGGCAGCCACCAACAACAGATATATCAAAAACAGAATATCAAAACATCATCAGCCCTACGGATGAAATTTCAAATTTCGAACTGCAAGCAAGTTCCTAAAGAGATAAGCAACATATACTTTTCTTTGTGTAGTACAGATTGTGAATCAGATTTTGCATGTAAATAGGAAATATCTAAGGAAGACTACTGATACTCAGAATGAGTATAACTGAGATCTTAAAACCTTGACATCTTACTTTAACAAAAGGAATGTTCTCTAATCTCTGAACCTTCACATCAATATTCAAATTGGTCCAACCAGGCAAGGAACCTGTAAGTTTGAGAGAATCTGGAAATTTCCCATGAAATCTGCCAAAAATAACCCGGGGACACCTGGATGAAAGATCTGGAATAGGGCATGGGTACACCTAACAAGAAACCAATGCAGAGATAATGAGTTACATAATACATAATGCGTGAAAACAGTGGATCAAGATAATATGACTGACCGTGCAACATAACGTAAACACATATGTAACAAAGATGAAACTCATGCAAAATATTTTAGCCGGTTTTCAATGCATGTCCTGACCTGATGACTCAATTTCGATACATGATTCAAATCCGTTTCCTAAGTAGTAGCAACTTTGGGATTAGGAAAGCTGACCATATGATTGGACTGGAACCTAGAAATAAACCACAATTCCAGCTTAAAATAAGTGAATTCTGGACTCACGAGTACCCTGGGAACATATCCTCTACTTGCAATGTAAGTTCTCTCAATCCTGAGAACAACTAAAAACTGGATCATTCAGGAGACAGTTCTTCCAGAAAATTATGCAACACAGGTGAATGATTGTATGGGACTCTTAGTTCTCATCCTTTTCAAAGTGTTGTCTTCAAATGTGAGTGTGAACCTTTTCTAGAGAAAATCGTGAATGCAGTTGTAAAAAATGAGGTAAGAAACGGAATTTAAAGAGACTATTTACATTTCACTTTGTCAAAGCATGATTAATCGCAATTTTGGACTAGTCAAAATTAATTATGATAAATTGTCTCCTTTCATGTTACTCGTGCTATACATGAATGTTTGCAGTTGTAGATGTGCATCTTTATTCGATGGTTATGCATAGCTGGTGTTGGACCGAGTTCTAGTGTATGGAATGGGACGTAGGGACTGACCAGTATATATCATTTTTAACACATTTTCCTCGGACTGCTGATCAATTCTGTGGTTGACAGCTTTCTGCAGTTGATCCCACATGCAATCTGGTGCCTTGAGGAGGCAGATGTGAGGCCCTCATGCTGAGTCTAGGACTCAATTGCGTGATACATGCTACTCACACATGCCGGCAGATATGACCACGGGCTAGAGTGGGGATTACTCCTGAAAAGAGCTCCCCACTAGCATACTAGGTACATGCAGTACCAGCCACTAATGCCTGGCACTATTTTTAGAACCCGACTCTATGTCTAGGTATCTAGCAGGAAGATTAGACCATTTACTATGATTTCATGCTCAAAGCCCACAGATTGCATAGTGTGATAGATGAAGGAATTGGGTAATAAAGAACTTGAATTGTTGGGATTTGCAGAATTGAGACTCGAACAAAACACGATGCCACATGCTTGGATGCTTAATATGCATAGTCTGAAAACAGGCATGCATCATATGTCCCTACAGTGTGAAAAGAACATGTACATCAGTCCATCTAAGTCTGCCAATCTTCAGAACAGTTTAATTGAAGAGTCAAGTTAGTCATACCCATGTCAAAAAGCCAAAACGTTTTCAAAACATATTTTACTTATGAAAGGTATTCCCATAATTTCACTGTGGTGGTAGTGTTCTCTAATTTGTTAAAAATTGTTTCTTCTCATGTTTATTGCAATTTTTTGGGATTTAATGGATTTTATTTATTTTTACAGATTTTTATGACACCATGGCTATTTTTGGTATTTGGTTTAGGGTTTTTAGGGCTTCTGGAGGGTGTATTTTTGGAATTGGTGAGTTAACCTAAGAATCCTGCAAATCATGTTTGGGGGAATGAGATTGCAAGAAGCCCTTTGCATTTATGTGTGGACACGTACACTGAAGGATATCCACTTTTCATTTGTGGAATTGTCAATGACAAGAATGGGGCATGGTGGTGGGACCATTATGGCAGGTTGCCAGGAAGTCTTAGATTAAGTCTTGCGAGATCTGGGGACTGGTGGTGGATCCTGATTAAGATTAGAGAGATTAAACAGAGAAAATTATTTTGGGTAGGGGTGTCTTTTCTCAAAAGGCCAGGGACACTTGTTATCTTTAGGTCTTTTATGGCTTATTGGGAGATGCCACAAACCTCTCTCAATCCTCATACAAGTTAGAGCCATCCAAGAGATGAATGAGGCACGGCCTTAAGTGCCAATTGCAAACGTGATGAAAGACCAAAACCTCAGCTCCCAAAAGCACAAGTCCAGCATCTCAATTGAATATGACATTGAGTGCACATAATTGAAGTTTTTTACTTCCTGGTTTTGATAAAATCAGACTTACCATAAATAGGAGGTACATACCATAAATAGCAAGTGTTACAACATCAGGCCAAGGGCACTTGTGCCAAACCATAGGGACTAGATCCAATAAATTTCCATTAACGGTAAAATAGAGTCATTTTTATATCTTTGAATTTGAATAATTAAAAAAGAATGAAAAAGTTAAATGAGACAGTTGTGGTACTGATCAGTTGAAGTATTTCTGTTTCGGTCCTGATTTGTTTCTACTTGTGAATTTAAAACCAAATCTCATTGAGATTGGTTAATCTGGTTTTAATCCTTGGTCTGGGAACCCCTAAATTTAATTTTAGGCATTACATGAGAAAATAAATTAGTTATAATCATGTAGATTTCATATTATATGTAAAAATCTAATTTTAGCAGTATTAATTGATAAATTAGGCCTTTCATAATAAAATACCAAGTTGTTGGAACTTATCTCATTTATTTTTCTAGACTCAATACAATTTTATAATATGAGATTATGATTTATATTAATGATGTCATGCTAAGGATGAATGCACATGCAAAAAATAGTTTTGCGTAGCATGCTGAACTTATATTTCATTGACGTGTGTATTGCGAGACTCTGATTTTATGTGGAAATACATCATGCTGGAATTTCTTGGGGGAACCTTTTTCAAATATTTGATGCTTCCATGAGAAATGTTTTCAAGAACATATTCACTGCATTCTTTATGCGTATTGTTCAGCATGAGTTAATGTCCACAAACTGAATTTTCAGCAAGCATAGGTTTGGTAAATTGCATGTACGCATATTGAGTACTTGTATTTGCATGTAAATATGAATCTCACACATTATTATTGTCTTTACAAAATCAAAGTGAGCATTTCTAGGAAACGAACAAGTAGATCCTTTAGATTCGTTCTCTAGGGTGTATGAATGTAACCCACTTTGCTCTAATTTTCACAATCTACTTCTGTTTAGGGTTTAACCAACAACTTACACCACAAACTGATATCTAACACATGGAGTTTCAACGTTCCTTGGGAAATTTCAAACACCTCGTGCTCCAGATATTAAAAATCAAAACATCAACTGCCCTGATTTTCTCAATCTACTTCTTTTTAGGGTTTAACCAACTACTTACACCACTAACTGGTATTTGACACATGGAGTTTCAACATTCCTTGGGAAATTCAAACACCACGTGATCCAGATATTAAAAATCAAAACATCAACTATAAATAACTATTTCATATTTTTATAATACGCTATATCTAGGACACTATGTCATTAGGGGTATTTTAGACATTTCATACCATAACAATAATTTGGTTCTTTTGACCTTATTTAGTTATATAACTATCTTGCTTCATTCATTGACACTCATTTTCAGCAATTTTGATTTGAGTTTACCAAGAACTCTTTACTATTCATTCCTATATATTGCATATAAAAGATCCTCCATATAGAACTGGCTAGAGGATACTGCAACTCAAATTCAAGTCTCTTAGATTCTCCATGGTTCTTAGGATCCAAATCACTATTACCTTTCATTAAACAGAAAGAATCTCCATTATATATTACCCCATTGGAAGTTTATTGAAATTAGCAGAAGGAAAGCAAAAGGGAAGGAAAAGATACCTCCACTGTATTTAGATCATTTGTTTCAATAACGGATATGTTGGTAAGTTGAGTACAGAAAGCTGTTGTGAACAGTTTCTGCATCCGGGAATCAATTGACTCTGGACAACAAAGAAAGTCCGTCATAAATGTCATAATCAAGATAATCTTCCTTAATAAATTGCATATGTAATGATAGCACACATTTATAAAAAGGTCGTCGCTACTTAAAGTTGTGAAACAAATTTTCATCACTTGCTATATCAGGATCCTTCTTAAGTACAGATGAGGCAATTGAAAAACATAAGCTAACAATATCTGCATGGACAGTTTCCACTTTTGCTAAAAAAAAGAATTATTTATTAGTCTGCATAAGGCCATTAGAGCCATGAAATGTATGAATAACACTAAACCTACACTAGAAAAGGAATACCAGAAAAGGATGTCCATACTAAGGTGTCCTGAAAATTTCACTGTCCAAATGCCTTATAGAGGGAGGTGCACATTGACTTAGCAAATCCACCAACTGAAGTCCTTATGATAGAGACAATGAAAGTGTTAAGAAAGAATTAGATGATCATTGACATTGCACATTGACTTAGCAAATCCACCAACTGAAGTCCTTATGATAGAGACAATGAAAATGTTAAAAAAGAATTAGATGATCATGGACATCATCATCATCACTATAGCCTTTTCCCAATTAATTGAGATCGGCTACACGAATCCTGGTCCGCCATTTTGCTCTATTAAAGGCCATACTCTCAGTGAGGCCAAAGTCTAGATGATCATTGACATACTTAACCAAACAAAAAAATTCAATTAATACCACATGATATAAAGACTAAATTAAGCTCCACTAGAAAGGAAGGATGTTCTGTCCAGACTTGCACAAAGTGTCCAAGTTACTTGTAACTACACTAGAATACTGCACACTAAGCCATTGAATTCCAAATCAGAATCACTGTGCTTTTTTTTATCGATAAATTCACAACTAAAGCTAACTATTGCATTAGATAAACTAACTTCCTTGTATTATAAATCAGTTAAAATATAGAAGTAAATAATGAAACGAGGAGAAAAACGGAAGAAAATAGATGAAAAGATCGAGTGCTCAGTGAGAGAGAGTGAGAAAGGAATAGGACATTGAGAGAGGTAAAGAGAGGGTGATGTTAGGTTATACTGACCTCCAAGCTCTCTCATATATAAAATATCAGTTTTGAAAGATTTACATACTGTACAAGAATGTCCTTTTGTGGAGAGATTAAAATACAATGTAATGAGGACTGAGCCTTCAACAATCACTCTCACAATACTCCACCTCAAGATGGTGCATAGATATCAATTATGCCCAACTTGCTTAAGATAATTTGTAGTTGATGTTTACTAACAACCTTCGTAGAATACTTATAGAAATTCTTCTGTCTTCACAAAAGGAAGATACATTTCTCTGGTAGCAACTCTTTCTCGAATAAAATGTTGGTCTATCTCAATATACTTGGTCCAATCATGCTGCAAAGGATTGTGAGCTATACAAATAGCTGCCTTATTATCACAGAATAAGGACATTGATCCCTTCACAGGAAAACCAAGTTCTCACAACAAGATTTTTTACCACAACAATTGAAATGCACCATGAGTCATGGGATAATACTCTGCTTCAGCACTTGACCAGGTTACAACTGATTGGTTTTCATTCCGCAAAGTCACAAGGTTACCCCTAACTAGAGAGCAGTCTGATGTAGATCTTCGGTTCATAATACAGCCAGCCCAATCTGCGTCTTATAAGCCTCAACTCTTAGGTGCCCATCATTTGCAAACAGCAATCCTCTAACTGGTGATGTTTTTAATATCTAAGAACTCTGTAAGCAGCTTCGACAAGAATAGTTCTAGGGGCATCATGAACTGACTAATCATGTTCATAGCATGTGCAGTATCTGGACCCATAAGTGAAAGATACATCAATCTAGCCACCAACCCTTGGAACATACCTACATCTTTATGTGCTTCACCCTTTTGGCACCCTTTTGGTCCTCGAGCTTGTGATTTTGTTCCATAGGGTATCAGCAGGTTTTGCCCCAAGCTTCCCTTTGACATCCAACACATACTTCTTTGAGAGAGACAGATTCCTCTCTTAAACCTAGCAACCACTATCCAAGAAAATACTTCGATGGACCAAGATCTTCAATCTCAAATTCCCTCGCTCGAAAGCTCTTGAGTTGTTGAATTTCTTTAAGACAATTCCATATTACAACAATATCATCCAGATACACAATTAGGGCGGTGGTACTGATGCTAGTGTATTTAAACCGGAGTACAATCACCATGACTCCGACCATATCCATGTCTTTGGACACCACCATTAAATCTTTCAAACCATGCTCAGGAGACAGATTTAATCCTTAAATGGCCTTTTTCAATCTACACACTTTTCCTTCATTTTCCAAGAGCCTTAAATCCAGGTGGAGTTAACATGTACAGTTCTTCCTGCAAATCCCCATGAAGGAATGCAGTCCTGACATCTAGTTGGTGCAACAATCACTCTATATTAGCTGTTAGAGATAAAAAGACCCAAATAGGATTCATTTTGGCAACAGAAGCGAAGAACTCTCAATTGTCTATTCCATAAGTTCGAGTAAACCCCTTAGCACCTAACCATGCCTTGTATCTGGCAGTTCTACCATGAGCCTTGTGTTTTACAATGTAAACCCATTTGTAATCAACTATCTTCTTCTCTTTAAGAGGATCTACCAGGTCCCAAGTACCCTTCTTCATTAGCCCCCTCATCTCCTGGCGCATAGCCTCTTTTCACTTGAGATGAGCTAAGGCTTCTATAACACTATTTTTTTGGGTGAGTAAGGCTTCTATAACACTAGAATGAATAGAAACAAGAAGCACAAAAGATTCGAAAGCATGATAAGAAGGAGACAAGGACTCATAGGAAATAAAATTGCTAATTGGGTGTGCTATGCAACTTTGTCTAGTTCAGCAAATAGCAATGGGCAGATCCGAATCAGCACACTGGGGTTTGGGAATATTACCTGGATTGCAGGAATACAAAAGGCATGTCAGCTATGGTGGTCTCCACTTCCTTTTGTTTCTGCTGAGTATAGACTTTCAGTTCTTTCTTTTCAGCACCATGAAAATGCCCCCCACTGTCATCCTAGGTTCCAAATTCAGAAACAATAGGGATAGAAAGAGGAACAGAGGACCTCTCTTCCACACCATTCTCCCCCATGAAGAGAGGTAGGAAGAAAGGAGTGAACTCAAAAAAGGTTACATCCATCAAGACAAAACTTTTCCCAAATACTGAATCTCATAGCATTTGTAACCTTTTTGCGAAGAAGATAACCAAGGAAAATACAGTTTACTGATCTGGGATCCAATTTTGTACAATACGGACCCAAAACATGAGCAAAGCAACCACAGCCAAAGATGTCAGGAGGAATACTAAATAGTGGATGATTAGGAAAGAGAAGCTTGTATGGAGACTTGTAGTCTAAAACACGAGATGGCATTCAACTACTAAAATAAGATGCAGTAGGCAGAATATTGGACCCCAATTTCTTTGGTACATTCATACTCGAGAAGAGAACGATCCACTTCTAAAGATGTCTATTCTTTCTTTCAGCTCTACTATTTTGTAATGGTGTATAGGTGCAAGGATTTTGATATTCCATCCCATGCTTTTCCAAGTAGGATTGTAGCTCTCCATTACAATATTCCCCACCTTGGTCAGATCGAAGTACCTTAATTTCAGTAGCGAGTTGAGTTCAAATCATCTTATAAAAGACCTTAAAGATATGTGGAACTTCATCTTTGATTTTCACAAGGTAGATCCAAGTATATCGAGAGTAATCATCCACAAAAGAAATAAAATACTGATGACCAAAACAAGATTTAACAGGAGAAGGATCCCAAGCATCAGAATGAACAATAGCAAAAGGAACCTTGATTTTATTGTTACTAGGTAAATAGAAGTTTCTAAAATGTTTTGACAGTTCACAGACCCCACATTGAAACTCAGACACACTAGTAAAAATAAACCTCAGGAAACAAAACTTTTAAAGATTGAAAAGGCAAATGACCAAGTCAGAGATGCCACTGCCAAATCCGATATTTATTAACACTAGAAGTGGATTGTAGGGCTCAGAGATGCCACTGCCAAATCCGATATTTATTACCACTAGAAGTGGATTGTAGGGCTTGTGAGGTAGTTGATGCTGACTCAAGAATGTAGTGACTACAAGTTTCATGACCACTGCCAATCATCTCTTGTATCTAGATCCTAAAAGACACAGTGAGAAGGAAAGAAAGTCATACTACAATTCCGACTTTTGGTAATCTTACTGACAAATACTAAATTTGTAGCAAAGATGGGAACATGAAGAAGTGATGACAATGAAATTTTAGGAGAAACATTCATAGTTCCTTGTCAAGCGATAAAAAGACCAAGATTGCTATCTTATTGACAAATACTAAGTTTGTAGCAAAGATGGAAACATGAAGAAGTGATTACAATGACATTTTAGGAGAAACATTCATAGTTCCTTTTCAAGCTATAAAAAGACCCATCACCAATCTTGACTTTGTCTCAACCAGGATAAAGGGAATAAGAAAAAAATAAGGAAGACAAACCAGTAATGTAGTTTGGTGCTCCTGAATCAGTAATCCATAATTGTCCAAATGGAGTAAGGGAGATATGATTTGTAGAAGCACGAGTATGCAAAGAATAAAGTACTGATAGTGGATGGCCTTCTATATATGCGAACCGCCTGCGAAGGCTTTCATTCTCCTCTTTACAGACTAGTATATCTCCTTTGAAGTAGATATTGAGGATTGTGATGGTTGATCTGTACTTGCAGCAGTTAAATTCCCAGTGGATGAAGCATTGTGAGCATTAAATTGACCTTGACAGTTGAATTTAGCTGGATGCCCAACAAGTTTCTTTGAGATGACTAGATCTACCACGATGGTTACATCTTAGCTTACTTTTACCACCTTGATTAGGCTCTCCTTTTCCAAATTTTTGAGTCCCAACCCCCGTATTGTTTTTAAGAGGAAAGGAGTCAGAAGTACGAGCAAATCTATCAACTCCTTGGCTCTCTTCACTTTGAACAAAGGAATACACTTGGTTAAGCGACGAAGGTTATCCCTATTGAATATTTAAACCCTGGCTAATACAAACTCTGGGTTCAAACCTGTCAAGAACTCAAAAAGCGATTTTGTTCCACGAACTCTTTGTATTTCTCACCATCTTCCTTATAGGATGATTTAAACATCTGATAGTGGTCTGACTTCTCCCACATATTAAGAAGTCATGAAAGACGTTCAGCAAGAGACTTCTCCCCCATCAAAGATGGTAATTTCCTACCTCGGTTGATACACTCAAGCCACATTCTTACTTTGAGAATAAGTTTGATATACAGAGTTCCAAATCTCTCGTGCAGTTGGAATAAACAAAAAACCCATACTAGTCGATGGCTGCATTGAGTGAAACAATCAAGACATAAAGGTAAGATTTTCAATTTTCTGCTTCTCCTGTACTCGACCTATTTCTTCGAATTCACCATTGATATACCCCAACTATCCCCTTCCATCGATGAACACTTTAGCAGACTGGGACCACGCTAAATAATTTTTTAATTGAGTTTGATAGTAGTAGTCTGCAGTCTGGGGTTATCTCCATGGATACCCATATGGGAGGTAATACCAGGAGTACTACACTCAAGCTAGACATATTGGCCACAACACATCCCATGAATGATATGTGTTAACCAATACAACTAGCCACTCAAAAATACTTTGAACAAGGGTCTGGGATCATCCATACAAGAGATCTCAAAAAACAATTGAATTTCACAACTCATAAACAATGATTTGATCCATATGAGCGGTCCGACAACAGATTTTAACATCATAGAACCATGTCAGGCAGATGTAAGTTTTCTAATCCTGCCTCAAAAACTCGAGGAGACAACTGTGAAACTAGTTTTTTTTTCCTATTCCTTATCTTTTCTCAGATCTAAGGTTTCATACCCCCTTTTTCTTCTTCAGATCTAGAGTTTGTGGCCATATAGCTTTAGGAGACCTTCACACAACTAAATCACATCTTGAGGGTTAGGAGACCTTCACACGGCAAAAAACCTCACAAAGCTTCCTACTCTGATACCAAGTTAAAATACAACAATAGATAATGAAACGAGGAGAAAAAGGACAAAAATATATGAATAGATCGAGTGCTCAGTGAGATATAAAATGATGAAGGACGAGGACGTTGGGAGAGGAAGAAAGAGAGGGTAATTTTAGGTCATATTAACCTCCAACACCTCTCATATACTTGTATCAGTTATAAAATGTTTACTTACTGTACAAGAATGCCCTTTGTAGAAGGATGAGTAAGTCCCTAGAGACTTAAATAAAATATAATGAGGACTAAGCCGTCAATAATCACTCTCATAAGAATATCCATAAATTTGACAATTTTATACAGAATCAGAGACATGGGGGAACATACTTGTGCCATAAGCAGCATCATAGTGACCCCTGCCAACCATTGCCAACATTCTCAAGAAATAATGATTACAATAAGCACCTGAAAGCATTTAAAACATAGTAAGAAAGAGAAAAGAGCTGCATGAAATGTGCAATACAACTTCATATAGAAGCAAAAAATGATCACAAAAGATAAATTTAAAGGTCATAAACAATTAATAAAATCATTCCCTATTGTTTGTGATCGTCGATTTTATAAAAGTCCCAAATCTAGTATTACATATTATAACAAATTTAAAGGGCAACCACTCTATGAGCGCAACGTTAGGAGGAACGTTTGACATAAATGAGGTTGGAGGTCATAGATACATTCTTAGGTTTAGGATATCTAAAGTGAAAGAAGCTTTGAGAAAGATGAAGATAGGAAAGGCTTTAAGACCAAATTATATATCAATTGAGGTTTGGAAGTGCATGAGAGAGACTGAGATATTTTGGTTGAACAAATTGTTCAATATTTTAAGAACAAATAAAATGCTAGACGAATAGAAGAAAAATACTATGGTAGTTATTTACAAGAACAAAAGAGACATACTGAGTTGTATGAAATATCAACATATCAAGCTTATGAACCACACTATAACAATGTGGGAGAGAGTGATTGAGCTATGACTACAACATAAAACGAGTGCATCAGAAAATCAGTTCGGTTTTATCCTAGGGAGGTCAACTATTGTGGCCAGTTTCCCAAAGAATGAATTTGGTAGTTGACAAGAAAGGTGTCTCTAATGATATATTGACATGGTGTGGGATATGTACAAAGGAGTGGTAACTATTGTGAGGACAACTAGTGGAGAGACAAGTAGCCCTGCATTAGGGGTCAGCGTTGAGCCCATATCTCTTTGCTTTAGTTATAGACGAGTTAATTAGATATCTACAGGATGAGGTATTGTGGTGTATGTTGCTTGTGGACGACATAGCTTTGAATGATGAGACTAAAGATGATCAAACGACATCAACGCAACGTTAAAACTTTAGAGGGATGCTGTAGAATCAAAAGGTTTTAAAATTAGCTAGACAAAGACAAAATATATGGAATACATGTTTAGAAATAATAAAAGTAGAAATGAAGAATTAGTTAAGATTGATGGCCAAGAAGCACCTAAAAGAGATTATTTTCAATATCTTGCATCAATATTCCATGAGAATGGAAAGATTGAGAAAGAAGTCACGCTCACGCCTAGTATTAGAGTCGGGTGGATGAAGCGAAGATTTACTTCTGGAGTCTTATGTAACCATTGTATGCCAATAAAACTGAAGGAGAAGTTCTATAGGACAGTTGTAAGACCAACTATGCTTTATGGGATGGAATGTTGGGCAGTCAAGAAACAACATATCCACAAAATAGTTATCGATGAGATAAGGATGTTGAGATGGATGAATGATAAAACAAGAAAAGATACAATTTGGAATGAATACATCCGAAGGAACTTAAGGGTAACTCCAGTAGGCAATAAGATGAGGGAAAACAAACTTAGTTAGTGTGGCCATGTGGAGCATCGACCTAAAAGGGAACCGATTAGGAGAGATGGTTTGGTTCAAGTGAAAGGTTCTAAAAGTGCAACGGGAAGGCCCAAAAGACATGGGTGGAAGTAGTGAAAAGAGATATGGTAACTTAGAGTCTGACTGAGGTATGACCCTTGATAAGTAGAATGATAGAACATGATCCATGTAGCCAACCCCAAATAGTCGGGATATGGCTCAGATGATGATGAAGATGATATTAACAAATTCCCATGGCATACTATTTTAGATCATTCTATACAAATTTGAATGCTCACTATGCATTCCTTTTTTTCAACTACAACACGCAATTATCTGATGCATGTCATTATTAATGAATAAACCAAGAAGTTGTAAAATACAAGTGCTATAATTTAGATGCTTGCAAGAATAGCTTGTTTTTAATGATTACATTACAGCTTACAAGTAGCAGACTTCTTGTTTATTGCTATTGATGATCAAGAGAAGGCAAACCTATAAGTCAATAGAAAAGTCCCTTGAGTGAAGAGATAATATGCCCCCCCTAAAGCATTTGAAGAGAATAACAATTGCAGATGAAATATGAATATTGGACACCAACATCGTCAGTAGGTCAAATTGGATGGATGAATCATTTCATCATTAGTTAACCTGGCTCCAGCACACGAGTTAAATAGGAGATCTAAATTGTTTCTTAGAAAAGTACAGTTCAAATATTTGAGTAGCTCAGTTAACATCGTCACTGACAATGTTTCAAACTTCAGGAATTGGTGGTTGGTATAAGAACGCATGGAGACATTGATAAGAACACCCACAAGTTAGTTCAGTGGAAGGGTTGATTTGAAGTATACTTTCTCCAATGAGTAAGTTTGTCAAACAAGGGGTACACAACAAAGGTACAGTAACTAGAAAGATAAACAATCCCAGACACTTAGTCCGCCACTCATGCCTTACAAAGCCAAGCTATCTACTTCAGTACTGTCTTCTCTATGAACATGATGAAAAATCCCTAAGGTGCTAGAACTCGCTAAGATCTCCTCCAACACATGTGCAAGTCTTCATGGATAAATAGTGCGATGAATCAAATAATTGATTAGGGCGAAAGGCTGCATAACTTAAATCTTTTTTCTGTAGTTACAATATTCAAATTTCAGTCCAAGGGAATAAAGGTATTTATGGTAGGCATCTGTTTAGGTATATTCTACATTATGTCTTTTTAGGTGAAATATTGATGAAAGCACTCTAAGCAAACTGTTCTATGGGTTATTTGTGCTTGTTCAACCATTCTAATTTGTTTAACTTCAATAGATAACTTGCACTTTAGTTTCTCATGTAATTGAAAATTTAAAGAATGTGGAAAAGAAAAACCATAATCAACCATCAAAATTTAATGCCAGTCTTCGTTAACTCCAGCAGTCAGTAAATACAATATTCACGTACAAGTGTCAAGGCAAATGCCAAAGGCCCTCACTTAATTAAATGGATAGAGAATAGGATTCATTAAACAATTTGCAAATATATGTAGGCCCTCAATGGTATGAGGACATCAATAGTCACCGAGCATTCCTCAGCAAGCAAGTAATCCACGTCTTACTCGTAAGTAAAAAATTACTAGAAAAGTTAATGATATAAATAATTAAGAGAATTACCTACACCGAAAGTGCAAATTCGAGGGGACACAAATCCTTCATTTGTTGAATAAGTTTGCATTATATGACAGATATTTCGTTCATCTCTAACGGCTCCGTCAGTAATAAGAAATATGTAACAAATAGAAGTGTGGGAAACCTTGGATAACATCTTCATGGCCTGAGTACAAAAGACAAAACAATGAATAATGCATATAGATCTTCTCCTATCAGAATAAAGCACGTGGACCACACATTCAATTTTTGGGGAAAAATAGATTCAGCATAAACCTCCATAGTCATAAGAATATGTAAATAAAAAATAACCATAATAAATAAAAATCAGTAGAAATTAGCACAAGATCGTATGTGAAAAGATGAACTTATGCTCCATTTAAAGAAAAAATCACATGACTATAGGAACAAAGGTAATTTTACCTCATTAACAGCCTGAAGAATATTCGTTCCACCCCCGGCTACACATCTTTTGGCAATCCATTGGCAAGCACTTTCAATCATTTCCTTTGTCGAGAATTCCAAAGAGGTTGAAAACGAAATGATTTCCTCATCGAAAGCTATTATGCCAAAAGAATCCCCCGGAGCAAGCATGGAAAGGGCTGTTGAGACTGCTTGTTTGGCATCGTCTAGAGGGCTTCCCCTCATGCTTCCACTCGTATCAATAAGAAAGAGGACATCTTTTCTGAAAACCTATGACATTCATTAGAGTGGAATAAGATGTATTCATTGTTACAGCCATGCGAAATGTGATAAGAATTAACAGCATTATTTCTTTGTCACTATTGACAAAAGATAAAGATATTCGAAAAAGGTGTAAAATTGAATTCGAACCAGGCAAGTCGCTCAACAAGAAATTCATGATTTTGCAGTATAACAGGACACAGAAAACATTGTGCAAGGTAATAGACAGCAGATGAGGAAAAGCAACAAATAGACCACTGATTGTTGCAGTTCTAACTTGAAATGTGTGCCCAGCTCTGAACCTCAAGCATGATTGCAGCAATCCCATTCCCAATAATATTCCCAATAATATAGGTCTATGTCCCTTTGGCTATTAAAGTCATTACTCAAAAATCCTTGATCCGAGGGTTGATATAGCAACCAGCTAAGCAATCCAGTCCAGTGTTTTAAAATGCGGGATGCGACCCTGATGTGGTGAGGGGCCGATGGGGCGATGCGGCCTGGATGCGGGTGCATCTCGTTGATGCGGTCAATAAATGTAAAAAAATTCTAAAAAAGCTAAAAAAATAAGTTAATGCATAGAAAAAAAATTGAAGGTGATATATGTGATAATAGGTATTTTAGTTTAATAATTAACTTCAAAACTATTAGTTGTCGGAGATTTTGTATTCAGTTATCCACTATCCCCTGATAGAAACTAGAAACTTGAAACCAACTTTATAAAGCATTCAACAATCAACACCATAAGCACAAATTTGTACCATAAGCACAACTATAATTAAGCATAACCATCAACAACCATAAGTACAACCATAAGTACAACCATAAGCATAAAATAATGATATTACAAAATACAAATCAAAAGTCAAAGCTCAAGAAGAGTTAAT